CACCCACCCAATTATAACTAACATGCTAGTTAAAAACAACATCCCTTACCCACCACCCACCCTCTCACCTGCATTGAGTTTAGGGGAAAAGAATGGGGGGAAAAAAGGAAAGAAACCATACCACCCTAAAAACAAGAACACCCCAGAAATGTGAAAAATCTTCCTCTGAAGAAAAACTACACAGACTGCTAGAAACATAAAGAACTATTCCAGAGCTGGTTATTTAAAGAAAGTAAACACTTTGCTACACACGTTAACATTCAGTCAGTGTGCTCTGAGACAGAGCCTTAAGAAAAATACTACCTGAGCTTGTAAGTTAATACAATCATTAAAAGGAGGTCTAAGACCGTGTGGATACACAAAACTTTTAGAACCATTACTGGTTAAATGATGGCTGGAAAACATCCCACCAGGCTGGCTTGTTAACCCGTAAGATCAGTTTTAAAAATAGACATCACTGAGGTACTGCTTCACCATGACATTTTTCACCCAATCTGCAATCATTACAGTGGTCTCAGGACCCTCTCTTCCAACCAAAACAAAAAATATCTAGGGGAGCAAGAGAGTGGAGAGGCAATACAGTATACCATGGTAATGTGCTTCAACTTCATCAAGTATTTAATTAAAAACAACAACAACAAAGGAAAGAACAACCCGTCAACATGTTACCTTTGGTAGAAAAAATATTAAACACAAAACAAAAGAGCACCGCACCTGACCAGTCCCTGCTCAGTGAAGCAGTGCTTGTCGCAATGTCATGGTGACTAACATCCTGCTGGGTCCAGAAAAGGTACGATTACAATCACGAAGTCTAAAGGATTCTTATTCCCTTCAAATACTTGATATTTCCAACAACTAGACCCTTAGAATTGCTCCTAAAAGGGTAGATTTGCAGACATTCAAAATATAGATAAAATATTTTTCTCTTGAAGAGAAAAAGAGACCTAAAGGTCTTTATTTGCAGGTTAAGTCCTCAAATAGGTCAGATGAACCAGTAGTTTAATTAATACTGAACAACAAGGTAATGGTGTGCGTAATTCCTAGTTGCGGGGGTGGGGGGGCAGATTGGTTAAGTAATACTTGGGATTTAGGACGACATTTGCCTGAGTACAGGAATATTTGGTTTCAAAGTCAATCAAATGTTTCCCCTGGGAGAAGTCAGTTCTGGATTTATAAAAACATTTTCTTCTAGAGCTAGCTTCCCACTCCCACCCACTCCCCTGTGGATTAATACTATGCTTTTCAGAGACCCATGAGATGCTAACATGAGGTAGATGACTTTCGCCAAAAGTGAGGTAGAAACTGAACGAAAGCAAACGGTGTGGTGTGGAACTGCTGTGCGTGCGTGTCCTGAGCCCCTGGCCCGCAGGAAGCCAGAGTGAGCGAGAGCCCCAGGAGGGCCTGGCTCTAGGATATCATCACACGCGAGTAAGTTCAAGAGTTTGACTTTTATACAGCCCCAGACTGTTGGAAAACCAGTGAGTGATGTTTTGAATAAATACCCTACATACTTTTTTGGCACCACTGGATTTTTGTTTTTAAACAGAAGAACAAGCCTATAACTTTGGCATATTTCTATCTACCAGAACACAGCAACTGTAGAATCTTCCAAAGAGGATGACAACACATATATAAACAGTATTCTGCTGCTTCAAGCCTAAAAAGACTTCTCTCCTCAAATTATTAAGCTTTGGCTTAACTAGAATAAAACAGACTGAGCCAATCTCAAACCATTCTCTTATAGCTCCATCACAAAGGGCCTGACATCTGGCAACTTTTTTGGCCCAACACACAATTTAGATTCTGTTTATGGTACCCCCTGTAGGTGTTTCCCCAAATAAGTTAGACTTAAAAGGGTATCCATCCATCAAAGATTAGTACACTTGGGTCCTGCCCGGGCCACTGGGCTCCAGCCAACTCATGTGCCACCTACCAGCCACCGTAGAGCAGAGGTTTCTGAGACAGCACTGCTTCTTGGGACCAAATTTACAGAGAAATGATTTTTTCTTTTTTAAAGATTAACACTTTGGAAATGTTAACTTTGTCAACCAAAAGTGGTTTGTATCTGTGGGTTATTTAGATCTCCTTTAGCCATCTCAATACCCAAACTTACATATCCAAATCCAACTGGCATCTCCAAACACAAACTGACCCTCTACCCCGCACCACCCTGCCACCTGACCAGATCGGACACACGTGGGGATTATTGTCTGAATACCACATTTACTTAACAGAAACAGTTTATACTCTTCCCTCGCAGTACCCACAGCCTTATCTTTTCACGGTGTTCAAGACTCTCCTCGTCTACCCAATTCTTACCTACCCTAGCATCACCTAACAGGCAGGAGATACCCAGTTAAAAACCCCAATTTTTTACAGCCTCACTCACACCGGAGTTCCAAATGTTGGCTTTCCTCCTCTTTCTTTGATTTGGAGCCTTCCACATCGTATAATAAACACACTCCAAAGTGCTTCGCACCAATCCCTGTGGGTCAGGAGTCAATCATGGGCAGCCACAGATGGCCAGTGTTTTAAAAACAAAAGCTTCCCAAGTGTGACCATGTTTCTCAAATGGCAGTGGTGCACAGTTTTGGGTGCAGCAAGGTGGGGAGATGGACCACCACAGAGGGCAGAGAGGCCGCATCACGCACCTACACGCTCATTTCAGGGGAGGACCTACTAGCTTTGAGCCTGCAAACTGGTCAGTCTCTTAATTAAGACCTGATCATTTCAGTCAAGTGTGGAAACCCTGGCCTAACAACCAAATCCACAGAGAAATGCTAACTACACAGTTGTACGTTACCGCTATCACCAACAAAATCTCTCACTCAGGTCCCACAATTCCCCCACATACAGGGACATTGGGAAGGACGGATCAGCGTGAAGACGGGAGAATCAAAGGTAGTGACTACCTGAAGTAACTCATCCCAGGTTTCTGAGAACACTTCTAAGAATTTTCAAGATCCATTTCTTCAATAAAATTTTGTAAGCATTTAAAACCAGTTGTCTTTGGTGTTTAAAGGGTGGTTCGTTGGGTGGCTGGGGTGGGGGTTGGGGGGTGAGGAGGGGAGGAAGACCAGCACCAAGTTATTTCCAAAATAAAAAACAATAAAAATGTTTAATTACACAAACTCTTTACCAAAGAACTTAGAACCTAGGGGCAAATAAAAGGCAACCGAACAGGAACTGGGGAAGGATTCAAGATTGCTTCAATAAAAGAAAACGTGGTTTTACAAAACAAGATTTCCTGACGCCTCCTTGCCCTGAAACACAGCAGCTGAGAGGCAGTCGTCTGGTGTGACTTTCCAATTTTTGGATCCTTTACTGCATGCGGTTCTCCTTTATGAAGTGAGTTTTTTCCCATTTTGGTCATTCAGAAACCCTAGAACTAAAGCAATGGGGAGGACACAGGGTACCTTGAAGTGGTAAATGTCCGAAAGAGCTGGACGAGAAAACCAATTTGACTGAGTTGCTACACCACCCCCATCAATTCCTTTTCTTTTGGGATGACAAAAACAAATTGCTCCATGTGTCACTTCATTTGGTTCATTTAAAACTACATCTCTACTGCAAGGGGAGTTTCTCTGAAATACAGGAACAGAAACTGACGTTAGTCCTTCTATTTGAACAAGAGGTTTCCCTGGAAGCAAGCCCCTGCCGTCTGAGAACACCTTGGGCTCCTGAGGTGTGCTACTCTGGAATGTGGTTCTTCCTCAGTACTTGGGAGAATGCAGGGACCCATATAGGTTCTCACAAGCAGGATATTAGCTATGCCTACTTTCCACGTGAAAGACAGATAATGTCCAGAAGCACAAGGCTCTGTACCCAAGTCCAGCTTACTACAAACCAACCCTGTAAAGTGACGGATGCCATCCCACAGTTCTGCAGCGGGAGCCTGGCTAAATTTTCATTCTTTGGTACCGAGACAGAGGTGTAACAAAAAATATTACAGCCTACATTTTGGGTTGGGGCAATTTGGTTTACAAATCTTTTACATTCAAAGGCCTTTGGGGAGAAAATTCATGTTAACCATGAGGTCCTACTGCACGGCTCGGGAGCAGACCACTCCGTATAAGTGACCCGAGCAGAGGGTGTAGGGATGGGTTGTTCCTATTCATTTGACTGTCAAACATTCTATTTCCCTGAACTTCCAAAGCAGGTAAAAATTGTGCTTTTAAAGGAAAAGTTCAGAAAGAGAAACACCTAGCATTATTAACAGAACAACATTCAAGCAGAGGTCAGGGACTGACCTCTGCCCTCCCGCAGAGTTTGGGGTAGCCTGTTGCTTTCTTATGCTCTCTATGGACCACCTCAGCACACGCCCGCCGGCCCACACTCAAGTCCACGGGCCAGGCAGGTCTGACACCCTCTTTCTGAGAATGAGGCTAATTTTCTTCTTCCTTCCACTGAACTTTATAACCAATAACAAACTAAAAATACTTAACTTTTGAGAATACTTTTAATTGAAAATCCTAAGCTACATCTATTTTTTAGAAACCAAAGTGTGAGAAGGAAAGTTTCTCTGGGTGGTGGTGTATGATCTTCAGCTTTACTATTCTGGTATAAGATGGCTCAGACACTCAGACAGACACACACACACACACACACACCATCCCTTAAAAGAAGCAAAGATTACATACCCTAAAACATGAATAGAATAGTCTGCTTTTCTTGGCTAGCAAGCCACAGCCACATCCATATCTTCTAAGAATAAGAAAAGATGCTGAACAGGATGATACACACTGAGGTATAAAAGGAGAACACAGAAAAGTTCTCTGTTGCAGCATTAAAAAAAAAAAAAAAGATTTCCTAAAAAGATCAAGATCACAACACAATCTAATCCCATAAACACAGTATTCTCCAGAACACAAATACTCTATAATTCAGCATTTTAAATCTTATTTTTCCACATTTTATAGTTTTTTTTTTTTTTTTACTTAGTAGTTCTTTCATGTTTCCTTGGCTCAATCTACAGAATACACCCCACCACCCATCCAGTGCCCCCCCCCCAGCCACAGAGACGCCAGGCTTGTGCATATCACGCCCCACAAAGGGTCAGAGAGGAACGTGAACTCCACTGAGTGAGGGTGGGGAGGTGGGCAGAGGGCCTGCTGGAGAAGGAAATGTAAAGATTTATGAGGTAGATAGAAATTATCACGTCACAGGCTCAATCCCTGCAGAAAAGATAAGTACATTCATCTGTAAAAAAATAAAGATGAGGTAGGACTTAAGCAATGTTGTACTTTTCTTGTTCTCTTTAAACAAAAGAAAAAAAGAAATTTCCCTGAGACTGTTTCTTCTTTGAAATTCAAAAGGAGAGAGAGAGAGAGACGCACGCACAGCCCAAACACGGAAGCCTAGAGAACGTGATTAGAAGATGAGGACCCGATTGTTGCCAAAGTCCACCACCACGATCATCCCATCGGGGGTGACAGCGATGCCAGAAGGGCGGTCCATTTGCCCAAAGCCACTGCCTTGGGCGCCAAACTTGCACAGGAAGCTGCCGTTGGACTCGAACATCTGCACCCGGTGGTTCCTGGAATCGGCCACAATGATGCGCCCCTCCTGGTCCACGGCCACACCCTGTGGGCGCAGGAACTGCCCGTTGCCAGTGCCCTCAGAGCCCAGGAAGCGCGCAGACTGGCAGTCGGGGTGGATGACCAGGAGCCGATGGTTGTTGAAGTCGGTGACCACCAAGTGGCCCTCGTGGTTGAAGGCCACGCCCCGGGGGGAGTCAAAGTGCTTCCAGAGAGCCCCCTCGAAGCCGTACTTATTAAGGAAGATGCCATCGGGACCGAACAGCTGGATCCGGTGGTTGCGGGTGTCAGAGACCAGGATCTTGCCCTCAGAGTTCACCGCCACGTCCCAAGGGTAGTTGAACTGCCCGTTTTTGGTTCCCTTCTCGCCAAACTTGAGCAGGAACTGGCCCTCGAACGTGAAGACCTGGATGCGATGATTGTCCTTGTCGGCCACCACGATCCTGCGGGAGGCGTCGCAGGCCACACCAGCTGGCCGGTCAAACTGTCCGGGTCGGGAGCCCAGGGTGCCGAATTTGTGGTGGAAGGCGCCACATGGTTTGAACACCTGGATGCGGTTGTTGCTGCGGTCAGCCACGACGATGTAGCCCTCCTTGTCCACACTCACGCCCCAGGGGCGGCAGAGCTTGCCGTCGCTATCGCCCTCACTGCCGAAGCTCAGGCCCGGGAGCCCGATGCCCACGTAGCTGCGGCCAGACTTGACCACCACCTTGAAGGGGCTGTTCTCGATGTGCTGGTTGCACATGGTGACAGACACCAGGTGCTCACCCTCCAGCTGAGGCCGGTAGCTCACCACATAAGTCCCATTCTGCTGGTCGCTCACCTCGGCACCAAATAGGTTGCCATCGGGGCCCAGGACCACAGCTGACATCAGGTCGCCCCCTGAGAGGCGAGGCTCCCCATCATGGTCGTAGCCAATAACGGTGAAGGAGGCCACCTTACCCTGGAGGGCCCTCTTGAGGCCATCGCCCGTGGCCTTGGTGAGCGGCGCAAAGGCCCCGCTGCTGACGAAGCCAAAGGACTTGATGGCGAGGTACAGGGCCTGGTCGGGTGGTGTGAACATGACGCGGTCGTCTTCCTGGGGCTGCAGGAAGCTGCGCACGGTCTTCAGCTCCTGCACCTGGGCCAGCATGCGGTCCCGGGCCAGCAGGACATCCAGCGCCCGGCCCTCCTCCAGGACCTGCTGGACGGCACTGATGGTGCTCTCGAGCTTGTTGAGGCTCTGCCGCAGCTTCTCCACCTGCAGGTACAGGGACTTGGCTTTCACCTGGCGGATCTTCTCTACCTGGAAAGGTGAGAGCAGGGAGAGAGGACAGAGGCTTTGAAGCAAGCAAAAAAAAAAAAAAAAAACCAACATACCACCCGACACGGATCACACAGATCACGAGGGCAGACCCACCCCGAGGAGCTGAGGGAGAGCCCACAGAAACCACTGGTCCGTGCTCTTCAAAAGCGGCAGAGATCCAAGGACAAAGGGAGGCTGAGGAACTGTGCCAATTACGAGAGATGACTGCAAACAGGACGACGACTTGCAGCGCAGGCTCCTGCTGCTATGAAAGCCAAGTGCTGGTGCACACTGACCAGGGACCGAGGGAGTAGGCACCAGCACACTATCAGGACTGCACTTCCTGCTTCTGAGTAACTGATGATGGACGAGACTGCCCTCGCTCAGAGGAAATAAACAGAAGCATTCGGGGGAAGAGGCATCCTGTCTCCAACACGCCAATCACATACAGAGTAGGGTGAAAATGGGGCAAAATGTAAATAAGCAGTAAATCTGGGTGAAGGATAGAGGGAGTTCTTTTATTATTCCCGTCACTTAGAAATAAAATATAAAAGCTAAGCACAGCCATATAACAAATGTTTACTGAGCACCTGCTTTGTGCCAGGCACTGGAGGTGTGTAATGACAGGTCGAGAACGTGGCCCTCACCAGCAGGACTTCCCAGGGGACTAGAGCACAAGGCCGGTCTTACACTCCCAAAGGGCTGAATTTTCAGCATAGCTACAGAGACTGCAATCTCTTCAGTGATTTCTCCTCCACTCTACCATCCCTGCCTTGCCCCACTCTCCACTCCGAGAGAGAGAGAAAGGGGGGGGGGGGGGGGGGGGAGGAAGACAGACTGTGTGTGGAGAGAGTGAAGGGATTTGTTGAGAACCTAATTCAAGATTACAACCTGTACCCCCCTGGCCTGCCACACATCCCATAGTCCTCTTCGTGGTTTTCTGTCTTCACAGGGATCCTGAAAGGCCACACACACCCCAAATTTGGAGAAAGTAAGTCCTTGGAAACCATTGGCCTCTAGTATTTCCAGAGGAGCCCTCTCAATCTAAATTGTTGCAATACAGAAACCTGAATTCTGACTTGCTAAAATAATTCTGCCTCTGAGGTTCTGAAACCCACGATTTCGGAATGTGGGATTGTCTGTGACCAATGAAACAGAGCCACTTATCCATTCTTGTGCATTAAATCAGTAAAAGACCTCCAATTAGAAGTGATTTCCCTGTGAAGGGGATAAATGAGTCACCTAGCTGATTCGTGCCGTCATGTAGAGAGAACCAGGAACCCTGAGGGCTCTACTAATCAGAACGCTAGAAAGTCTATTTCAGAATACGGCTCCACTATTGGGGAGGCCTGGATTTCAGTCAGATTTTCCCTCGGGAAGGGGGGCGATGTGATTTTTGACCCATTCATGCTTTTCCATCTGTCCACTCTGGAAGCAAGACACATATGTGTAGAGAGGCCCACGTGGGGACAGATCAAAGAGAAGCTTTGTCCTTTGGTTTTTGCATTGGGCCAAACCTCTGGGCTTTGCTCTGGATTCCTCAACTAGGTGGTTGCAGCTAATCCCACGAGCTCATCAAGTCCACTGGAAATCTGTAAGCCATAAGCATGAAGAAGTGCATCTAGATACCCAAAACTGGGTCACCCGGCACTCAAATATCTTCAGTAATGGGGAGTGCAAGAAAAAAGATGTGTAACAAGGACGTGGCAGGGCAGAAACTGGCAGGAAAGCTTTGCTGGGAGGGGCAGAAAAGTCAGTAATTAGTAAAACAGAGTGGGACTCCCACAGGATTTAGGGTGAGGTACCATAATAAAAAGTAAAGACAAATGGGACTGAGGTGTGTCCAGAATGAGCATGCATATTCTGGAGGTTATCTGAGAACAAGTTTTTAGAAATGTAGAAACAAAGTATATTACACAGAGAGACTGACTCTTCTTCCAAATTTGCTTCTCCAAGACTAAAAACTTGCTTCCCATGCCCCCTGAAAGAGAATTTCCTTTAGGGAGAGGACAGGAGTTGGCCTCACAGGAGGGAGGGTACCTAAGGTGAGATCTGCAGAAACTCCTTTGCACAAAGGCCTTTTCATCAGCAAATCCAGAAGAGCAAGTTTGTGGCAGAGTTCACCAGGGAGCTCACCAGGGAGCTCTCAGGTTGCATGAAGCGGGCCCCTTTCAGTTATAATTAACATTCGTGGGTGGCATGAGCCTGGCAGACCACGGGGGCATGTGAGTGTCTGGAAACCACGTCAGGCCCACAAAGGTGCCTGCATAAAATACATGCTGAATTAAATCTTAAAGAATTTTTCTAGCCAAGGATCGTTCTCTTCTCGTCAAAAGGTAACTGAGCCATATTCCTTGAGAGGTCAGCAAAGGCAGAAAGCAGTTAGTTATGTGCTAACTAAATGGAAAATGCAAAGCAAAACCCAACACAACCTTCCAGAACATTTTAGGGCATAGTAATTGGTGAGGATCACGTTCAGAAATGGAGACCCCATCTCTACCTTCGCATAGTTTAGATGATTAAAACGAGCATGCACACACCTAAGTGCACCCTTTTTAATGAGCTATGTGTATGGTCTTATTCACGCATTAAGAGAATGTCATCCTGGAGCTGAACTGACTTGAGGTACTGGCCCATTCACAGGCATATTCTCCCCTGTTCCTGGGGCAGGGGGTAAAGGCCAGAGTAGAAAATGTTGAGATGAGGACTTGGATGGGGAAAGTCATCTTTCCAGCTGATTTGTCTAAACAGCACACCAGCCTGCTCAGCACTCTTTCCTGCTGCAACAGAAGAAAGGGCATTCGCTCGCTGCCCTCCCTAGTGGTTTTCCACAAGGGGGCAGGAAGTGCAACCAGGCAGGACACCAAAAAATAAGGATACTTCCCAGCAGCCTGCTTTTCATAACAACAGTCTCGACTGCGCCCCCTTCTGTCTCCCTGAGTGTGCGCAACATAAAACGTGAGGCTCCTTCCAGTCCTGGGTACCTGACTCCTCCCAAGGAGGCTTCTTGTGGCTTTAGTGCTCAGATGGCACACACAATGGTACAAGGAGCCCTGCATCTTTCTGCCAACATACTTCATGGAAAACCTCCCAAGTGTTCTCCACTCCGAGCTGGGATCTGGGATCTGACCTGAGAATCCTCGTGGTTTTGCTGCAGTTCACTGGAAAACTGCTGGCCAGCCAAGAAGGCCCGGGGTGGGGGTGGGCAGCACTCCTTACCTTCCACAGCAGCTCGCACTCCCGCTCCTCCAGGGCCTTCTTGTGCCTTGCCGTCACGGCTTTGACCTCCGACTGTACCACCTTTGCCTTCATCTCTACCTGCTCCGCCACAGTCTGGGCCTGCTCGATGCTCAGCTGGAAAAGCAAGAGCAGGCTCATGGCGTTAGAAGGACCTCCACTCCTCAAGCAAAAACATTTAAGTCTGCTTGTCGCAAACCCGAAGAGCTACCACCCTGGGCCCCCGAGACCACTTGATCCACTTCCCTGGAAAGAAAGCAGGCACGCAAGGGGAGCACGGCACCTGTCTGACACGTAGCCGAAGGGGCCGTGGCAAGCGCTGGGTTCCTTCCTATGGGAAACGGCACCTACATGGTGCTCAGCACTCTTAAGAGCTATTCCAACACAGTGAAACCAGTGTAGTTGGGTCCAAGCCGAAAAGCGGGAACGAGGACCGGACCAGCACACGAACCAGCTCCCACAGACTTTCTGGCCTTCCTGGCCACGTGAGAAAACCCGGCAGGCTGGCACAGCGCTCAGGTCAAGGTGCACCATCGCTGCAGGCCAGCAGGTAGCCATCATGTTCCTGTCACGTCGTCAGCAGCACAGCTCATTCCAACCCCAAGGGACACTGGGGATACTGTCTGATCTGCCACAGAAACCACGCACGCCGTGCCCTGTGGTCAGTCCGCTTGCCAGACCATCCCTGCACCACCACACACCCCACTCTGTACGACCAGCCCTTGGTAAACCAGCCAGTTTAATCAGACGTATTATTGTTCATAAAAAATTAATCAAGACAGAAGGCCCAGTGTTTTCATCAATATTACATGATGTGTCTTGAAAAGCCACAAGGATTTCTTTGAGATACTGAGGTATTAAATCAGGGATTCCAAACTGCTGATGGTGCAACAGGTCTAAGGGTGTTATTATGTCCCACATCAAGAGGGGCCTAGAGAAGCGCGCAGGGTTTGGAGCCTGGTCTGGGCTCAGGAATCGCTCATGGGTGACCAACCATGAGTGTGCCCTGGACCAAGGGTTTCCAGCATGTGCAGCACATCTACAGCTGAGGCCATCTTGGGAAAAGCAGGCTGGACAGTCATCCTAGGAGTCGGGTAACCCAGCTTCAAACCCTAGCTCCACATCCTACTATTTGCAAGGCCCCAGACAAGTGCCTGGCCTTCCGCAACCTCGGCCAATAGAAGGAAAAGACAAGGTAATACATGGAAGGAGCTCAGCACAGCAGCTCATAGAGTAAAACATCAACAGTGCTCAGCTGAGAAACACTTGCAGTAAGACCACAGGCATCCTTTCCCTTCATCCCACCTAGCTCCTGTCATGCAGGTACGGTTATGTACCAAGGCCTACGCATGCTTCCTGACCCATTTTGCTTTTTAAATTGTGGTTAAAATAGGTAGAACTTAAAGTGTACCATTACTGACATTTAGCACATTCCATATTGTCTAACCATCACAACCACCTAGCTGCGAACACTTCCATCGTCGAAAGGAAGCTTCCATACCTATTAGGCAGTTTTTCTCCATCTCCCCTCCCACTCCCCCATGGCAACCATAATCTGCTTAGTCTCTACACTGCTGTCTATTCTGGATAGTTCACAGAAATGGAATCAAACAGTACATGAGCAGCCTTATTTGTACGAGTATGCTTTCATTCAACAGTTGTGACTCATTTTGTCACTTACAACTGGGGACCCCCCTTAATCCTCTCAGTCTACAAGACACGCCAATGGCATGAAAGTCACACACACATTGCAGCTGCCCCCAAACCACCCATGGCTGCCGTGGCTAACTGCTCATGGCATTCTCTGCCCCAATCCCTGTGAGGCCTGAAGATCAGAGGTGGCACTTCGGCTGATCGAGAATGCTCATGAACTATGCATGGCCTGGAATGCCTTCTCTTCCAAATTCACCCTAAATTTCAAAAACCCAGCTCAGATGCCACTATCTTCCTGAAACTGGCAGTGAAGGACACCTTCCCATAATGTTTCTGTTCCACCTTTACTACCCTGTCCCAAGTGTCATTACATAGCACACTATGTGGGGGTTAGGTACATAGTCCATGATACTTCGCCACTGGGTTGTAGCAGGAACAATCTCTATATAATTTACACTTGCTAACATATACGGCCATAGCCATCCATATTCATCAAAGCAGTAGGTAACTATATTGGGTTAAATATTGTCTCCCCCACATTCAGGCTGATTAGTTAAGAGGAGGTCATACTGGACTAGAGTAGAGTCCTAAATCCAGTGACTGAAAATCACTTAAGGCCATGTGAAAACAGGCATGCAGAAAGAAGACCACATGAAGGCAGAGGCAGAAACTAGGAGTGATGTAGGTGTAACAAGCCGAGGAAAACCAAGGATTACTGGCAACTACCAGAAGCTTGGAAAAAGAAGGGCAAGATTCTTCCCTACAGCCTTCAGAGAGCACAGCCCGGCTGACACCTTTATTTTGGGCTTCCAGCCCCCAGAACTATGTGAGAATAAATTCCTATTATTTAAGTCACCAGTTTATAGTAATTTGTTATAGCAGCCCTAGGAAAGAGTAGCCAACAAATTGAAGTAGATGGAACTATCCAAATTACCAAAAGATAAAAAAAATTAGACTGACCCATCAGTAAATGCATATAAGCAGGTCTCATGATGGACTTGGCAGATTCCAAACGTCTCAGGTGGTCGAGGTTGATTTAGAAGCTGGGAAATCTCGCTAGATATTTAAAGAGATAATTGAACGTAGAAAATGGGGTTGAACAGTTAGTGGAGAACTGCCAGGGCAAAGGGCACACAGAGGATGACAGACAGACCGTGCCTGCAGTCGGCAGCAACCACCCTTGGGCCAGGAGAACAAAGAGAGGAGAGTAGGGGTTACAGGTAGGGACCAGGGGTGTGCCCAGCTCATTTTGGAAGCGGCCGAAGCTGGGAACTGGAGCTAACCCTCTGCTGCTGGGTGACAAACTGCTGCTGCTGAGAACAGGAAGTCAAATGGAAGAAGGAAGTCCCCTTTCCCAACGTCCGGATTTGTGGTTGGAAGTGCTGCGACCCAGCACCACACGGCAAGCGTGTGAAAGGGTCGGTCACGATGGAGAGAACTTAGTAACCCACACATCCCGTCTTCAGATGTGTCGGCATTAATGAGCACCAGCGGGTGTCCGAGTCAATACGCGACCGAGGCAACACAGCCTTTGTCCATTTATTTCTTAGCTTCCTCAATGGAAAGCAGAGGTGGCAAAATGCTTTCTATTTATACCAATGCCATATTACTTACCCAACTGATTCTCCATAAAAAACAGAAGAAATGGAAGTAACAGGCCTACATTCCTACAGGGCAAGAACTGGCAGGAGAGCGCAGTGACCACCCCCACCCCCTCTGTGTAGCAAGTGGGTTTACATAGCGAATGTCTGTCTACTCACCTCCCCCGCTACTGTCTCCTAGCAGGCCTGCTCCCTCGATCTTTCCTGCCAGGTCTCTAGCAGGCTCTTAGGCCTGGAATTCCTGTTCTAGGACAAGAACTGTTTCTTCCATTTTTCAATCAGGTAGAAAGGGTACAAAGCCCTTACTGTAATTTGAGGGATCCCCAAGTGTGCACGGATAGGATCATTCCTAGGGTTGAGAGTCATAAAGCCCTGTGTGTAGAGACAAAAAATAGAGCTTTCTTTTCCGAATCATACACAGTCCCGTGAAGCACTGCATTCCAAGATGTGCAGACCAGGACCTGCTAAACTAGTTCCCATTATCTAAACAGGGCATTTGCAGGTGGGGTGGGGAAACGACAGTAGGTAAAAGGGCTGAATAAATTTCAAAAACAAAAACATTCAATTTGCAGTAAGGACGGATAATAAAAAATTACCCAATAAGCATGGGGCTTGAGGGGAAAAAAGTTATCTTTTAGATGTTAACAGATCCAATCAAACATCTGAAAACTGAGGGTCTCAATCTGGGCAGGCCAATCAGTGCAGGGGAGGTGGAGGCCACCTGGGTTTCATAGGAAAGAGCACAGAAAGAGATTAATGAGGTCTGCTAGGGGAAACTGGGGAGGCCAGATGACTGCTACTGAAAGTGTTCTGATGGGGTGCCTAGGTGGTTCAGTCAGTTAAGCTTCTGACTTCAGCTCAGGGTCCTGGATGGAGCCCTGCATCCGGCAAACCACTCAGCGGGAAGTCTGCTGTCCCTCTCCCTCTGCCGCTCCCCCTGCTTGTGTGCATGTGTGCGCGCACTCTCTCTCTCGTCAAATGAATTGAAAAAAAAAGAAATCTTAAAAAAAAGGAAAAGACGGCACCTGGGTGGCTCAGTTGGTTAAGCAACTGCCTTCGGCTCAGGGTCATGATCCCGGAGTCCTGGGATCGAGTCCCGCATCGGGCTCCCGGCTCAGCAGGGAGTCTGCTTCTCCCTCTGACCCTCTCCTCTCTCATGCTGTTTCTCTCATGCTGTTTCTCTGTCTCTCTCTCTCTTTCTCTCAAATAAATAAATAAATAAAATCTTAAAAAAAAAAAAAAAAAAGGAAAAGAAAAGTGTCCTGATAGGCAGAAGATGACAGAATGCAAATGTCACCCATAAACTCACAGACCACAAAACCTGATATGGGAACTACTGTAGTTCACTCTAAAGTGTAATTTTATCACATTTAATACCTTTGAAACTATGATTCATCTTAAAACTGTCAATGGGCTTTTTCCTTTCTTAGGTGTATATAAAATAAATGTGCATATTACAGTCAATGGTGTCTTAAGGGTGACTGAAATAATCAAGGCTCTCTTTATGCAGAGAGCAACTATATTCTTGATCTTGATTATGGGTATCTCCCCCAACCCAGGGGATCAGGGCACCTTATGAAAAGTTCTAATTACGAAAGTGGCCAAAAGTTACACTTCCAGGAAGACTGGTCACCCTTAAAACACTGATGAGGTACACTGCAAATATCTCTCAGGCTTCCCTTGTTGTCAGTAACTCTAGACTCTCATCATGGTAAATTCTTTTTACAGGACTAAATAGAATTAATTGGGAGAATTTACTTCGGGGTGTTTTCTCCAGAACTAAGACTCTCAAGCTAAATATAGGCAAGTAGTCAGTCTCTCAGAGTTATAACTTAGAAACTGTGGTTCACAGTCAACTGTACATCTGACACTTGTAATTTAATAATGGATAAATGTCCCTGGTTGAAGAAAGGGAATGGAGCTCCTAGTTTTTTCTAAACAAAAGCTGGTAAGAGGAAATGAAAACACACAAGTCCCAAGTTGTAGAGTTCAGATATATTGTAAAAGGTCACTGATACTCATTAAAGGTGGTGTAAAGTTGGTAAGAACTTAAATCTGCCTGCAGATTTGGTGTGGCTAGTGGCCTTTACTTTTGGGACGTTTCATGCATATTCATTTGGTCCAGAGGACGCTTCACTACCA